AAAATTTTTAGTGCATTATAAAGACTTTGTAGTGCATATGTCGTAAACTCTTATTCAATTTGAAAAGAATGATAAGTGTTTAAGTGAACTGTTCATTCTTTGTTAATTGGATATGAACTGAGGTATGATAATAGTTAATGAGTGAAATGTTTCCGCTTCCATTGAATCTTTTTTCAATGTGATTTTTTCTCTTGCATATTTGTTCCTTCACTATTTTTTCTAATGCATCTTTGTTCCCATGGATTTTTTTTCTGTTGCATATTGTTATACACCATATGACAGTGCTATACATTCTTTGTTGGTTAATGTTTTACATTGGACATTCTTTGTTGCTTTTAATGTTCTGGTGCATCTTAGACTAACATTTTGAAGTGTCTACTTTGCATTTTAAGTGCATATCTTTCATTTTGATTAAGTTTAGTGTTTTATAGTGCATATGTAGATGAAAAAATAGGTCACCTTTATTATGCATAGATTTACCAGAATGTATGCACAATTGTTTGTGATTTATGCACTTACTACGATTATTCATCTTGTCAATCATTTAATTTTATATGACACTATGTGCTCCTAAAGGCCATGTTGTGTTGTATATTCATTCCCTTTCTTACATTTTTTAAGTCTCTACACTGCATTTTGAAGTACCTCGCTTGCATTTTGATTGACATCTATCTTTCATATTGTATATATAGATTTAAAATCAGGCCACATTTATTTTGAAGTACCTCGCTTGCACTTTGATTGACATCTATCTTTCATATCTTTCATTGCACATTAAAAGACAGGATGCATGGCATATTATACCAGTAACATTCTATGAACTCTATTGGTTATATATACTACACCTTTACACACTAACTGACCTTAGTTTATTGCACTTTATATTGTTATGTTATACAGTTTATATTATATATGTATGAATTTTATTTATGGGTTAATCGCACACAAGATGAAAATAATATTTTAATGTAATATTCTTCAATTCATTTTAGCAATACTTGGATCCATTGTTTGCTCAACTTATTGCACTTTGTTCATTAAACATTTTTAATGTTGATACTTATATTGCACTTTTTATAGGTTCTCAACATTTTTCACTTATCATATTTGCATATTTTAATGTTCCTAATGCACTTACCTTAGGTATATAGTACATTATACTACTATACAGGTTTGCTGCACCATCAAAAGTATGTGTGCCTATATCAAAGTTGGGAACAAACAAGTCCAGTAAGCATTTCAAATATGCAGAAGAAATTGAGGAAGAAGAAGCAAGGAGGCAAAACATTAGTGTAGAATGTAGAATTGAATAGCTTTTCATGTATGTCAATAGCAATTGTCCTTCATGTAATTTTAGAGATTTATTTATTATGTACTGAATCCGTTTTAATATCAATTTGTGTTGTTTTTCTCCACCTAATGCTTTTATTAGTTATTTTCTCCCATTTACAAGTGCACTTGAAAACCAACTCAAGTGCATTTTTCTTATATTGAAACGGTATTGTATATTATTTTTCATGTCATTTATAGTTTTATACTATAAATTTATGAACTTTGTGTGTTATGTTTGAAAAAAGAAGAGAGGTTTTTTTAAGGAAAAAGAGGAGAGAATAATACCTTATAATTTTTATGTACTTTAATATATTGGTTAGGGTTAATGGCTTTTTTTCAGTTTTTCTGGTCTCGGCTTAGATCCTTACATTCTCATGACCGACGCTAAATTATTTAATAATAATGCAATTTGGAAGTCTAAGAATGATATATGACTGCTGAACACATTTGCGCACATATATATAGAAGAAATCATTGTGTAAGCACGAAGGAAAAAAACCATTTACTTATTGGCCTGCAAACTTCTTTGATGCACAAATTTACAATGAAAATTAAATTATCTAAAGCTAAAAAACAGGACTCATCTCAGAATGCATTGTGAAAATATGAGAATGTATTATGGAAATTCTAGAATGTGTGTGGAATTAGGTGAATGTGTTGATTGTCTGAAAAAGCGTTGTGGAAATGTTAAAGTGCACTATGAATTCTGATAATAATGTCCTTTACACGAGACCCCATTTGTGCATGGAAGAAATCTTTGTATGTTTAAAGCATGTAGGAAACACCTTAATTTTGCTTTGAAAAAGGACCCAATTTACTGATTTATCCTACAAAATTTTAAGATGCAACAGATTTGCACAAAAAGTACGGAGTAACTTATCTAATAGGGCTCAAAATTTAATTAAAAATGAAGACTTGTTTGGGAATGCACTGTGGGAATCTGAGAATGCACCATTTAAGTATGGAACCCGACAACAAATTCTTACGGCCCTTCTGTTTTTCGAAATATGAGATGCATTAATTTACCATTATGCCCTTAATCTCACATTTTGGTCCTTTTTTCTACTGCGTAATTGAATCTTACCATATGTGGAAGTCAACGTATGTGGCGATTACTTCACATCTCATCCATTCGATCAGGCTTAATCTATGGCTGCAATCTATTCTTATTTCTTTCATTGAGAGTCATTCTCACTTGAACCAACCCCTATATATATATATATATATATATATATATATATATATATATATATATATATATATATATATATATATATATTGACATACAAGAAATGTATATAGCATAATAAAAAGCACTGAAAAATAAAATTTTTGGTTAGGAATGAGAATTGAACTCTGGTTTCAATTTGGACAATGAAAATCGCTACTAACATGTATCGACATCATTTTCTGATTTTTCTAGGAAGCAACAGAAAATCTTCCTTGAGGGTGGCTATTGTTGCAACTACAGTTGCACTTGGTGGGATTATACTTGCAATTGCAATCTTATGTCTTTTGAGATTGAAACTACTCGCCAAAAGGGAATATGAGATGCAGCCTTTAAGTGCAGCAGGTTAATTATTAGAAAATATATATTATTGGTCGCATTACATTTTCTTTTATTCCTTATAATAATCTTATCATCTTTGCATGTCCTCTTTGTAGACCCGGTTGGCATTTCCAACATGTCCTCCCGGTATGATTTTGATACAATTAAAGTCATAACCAATGATTTTGCTTGTGAAATTGGGAGCGGTGGATTTGGTTGTGTATATAAAGTATAATGATGAAGCCCATGCATTTAGTTGCCAATCTTTACAAAATTTATCCTATTATTATACAATTATTAAGTTACTTTTATAAATTAGACCCTAAACTTTCTTTCTTTCATTAGGGCAAGCTTCCTGCACGGGAGGAAGTGGACGCGAAAAGGCTCTCTGAAACCTCCCAACAAGGGGTTAAAGAGTTCATAAATGAAGTTGAAATCCTCCTGAAGCTTCAACACCGAAATCTGGTTCGGTTGTTGGGCCGCATAAAAAATATTTGTTTATGAGTTTGTCCCCAACAAAAGCCTTAACTTCATATTTTGTTAGTTTCATAAATATATCTCCTTATAAGTTTCATTTTCTTTTCTACTTGAAACAAGTTGGTATTGACGACACATGGCCTAACACATCATAATATGTGTTTGTGTGACTTTTGAAATATCTTTAGGTCGAGACCACCCTAATTTGGATTGGCCAACCCGATTCAAGATCTTGAAAGGAATCGCACGAGTGCTGCTATACCTTCATGAAGATTCTTGTGTGAAAATTATACACAAAGATCTAAAGGCGTCCAACATACTACTGGATTCAGATATGAATCCAAAAATAGCAGACTTTGGGTTGGCCAGAATCTTTCCACGTGATCAATCGGTAGGACGTAGGGATGGAAGGGCTGGAACCTGGTAAGTTATGCCCATAAAATCTTTGATGATTTTAATTTGGATGCTCTATTATTCCATGTTCTTCTAGCTAGAACTATCTCCAAAATAACTCAAAACTAGCTATCTTATAAATTTGTGTTTTCATTGCCTTTTAGGAGGTATATGGCCCCTGAATATTGCATGTCCGGAAGACTCTCTATGAAGTATGATGTTTACAGCTTTGGGGTTCTTATCCTAGAGATCATTTTTGGTAAGAAAATTCAAAGCACCCGCGCAGCAGGAGAAGACCTTCTTAGCAATGTGAGTAGACGTGCATTTTAATAATAAACGAACACATCTCACTTTCTCCCCTAGCTAATTAATCCCATTTGTGTTTCTATCTTTTCTTAAACAATATTGTTTGCACTATAAATAACGTGTTTTCTGTTCTAATTCACACACACACACACAAAGTAATTAAAGGTCCTTAATTAATTCAAAGTTATGGATGCTCTTATTATATGACAATTGACCTATAAATATATATTGAAATATCATCATCATATAAATTATTTGAGGCATAGAATCGTTGGATGGATGGAGAGCCCTTAGAGATTATAGATCAAGCTCTAGGCCAATCTTATAAAACTGAAGAAGTCATTTCATGGATACACGTTGGGTTATTGAGTGTGCAACACGATGCGGACAAGAGACCAACAATGCAAGAAATTCTGTTCATGGTCACCAACTATTCAAGTCGTACTTGGGCAGTACCGTGTCAACCAGCATTATATCAAGGTCAATGCCCCAATGAGAGAGATATTATTATTCATGAGCTTCGATCGACGACGACTGAGCTTACGTCCTTGGCATTTTTAACACCACGTGGAAGCTTTACTACATAACATTTTTGTTCTATATTTTGTACGTGTGTGTTGTGATATGATATGTATCCAAACATACATTGAATTTAATTTGGTATATGTGGAATTCTTTTTGTGTGTGTGTTTAAAGAATTCCACATATACGAAATTAAATTCAATGTATATTTGGATACATATCATATCAGAACACACGTACAAAATATAGAACGAAAATGTTATGTGGTAAAGCTTCCACGTGGTGTTAAAAATGCCAAGGATGTAAGCTTAGTCGTCGTCGATGGAAGCTCATGAATAATAATATCTCTCTCATTGGGGCATTGACCTTGATATAATGCTGGTTGACACGGTACTGCCCAAGTACGACTTGAATAGTTGGTGACCATGAACAGAATTTCTTGCATTGTTGGTCTCTTGTCCGCATCGTGTTGCACACTCAGTAACCCAACGTGTATCCATGAAATGACTTCTTCAGCTTTTAACTTCATTTATGAACTCCTCAACCCATTGTTGGGAGGTTTCAGAGAGCCTTTTCACGTCCACTTCCTCCCCCGTAGGAAGCTTGCCCTAATGAAGGAAAGAAAGTTTAGGGTCTAATTTAAAAAAGTAACATAATAATTGTAAAATAATAGGATAAATTTTGTAAAGATTGGCAACTAAATTCAAAATGGGCTTCATCATCATATATACCTTATATACACAACCAAATCCACCGCTCCCAATTTCACAAGCAAAATTATTGGTTATGACTTTAATTGTATCAAAATCATACTGGGAGGACATGTTGGAAATGCCAATCGGGTCTACAAAGAGGACATGCAAAGGTGATAAGATTATTATAAGGAATGAAAGAAAATGCAATGCGATCAATAATATATATTTTCTAATAATTAACCTGCTGCACTTAAAGGCTGCATCTCATATTCCCTTTTGGCGAGTAGTTTCAATCTCAAAAGACATACGATTGCAACTGCAAGTATAATCCCACCAAGTGAAACTGTACTTGCAACAATAGCCATCCTCAAGGAAGAATTTCCGTTGCTTCCTAGAAAAAATTAGAAAATGATGTCGATACATGTTAGTAGCGATTTTTTTAACGTGTGAATAATATAACATAGTATAACTGTATATATACAATTTAAGAAACGGGATCTCATGTTTTCCGATTCCTAGATGGCCTCTGTAGGGAGGCTTAGCAGAGCCTCTGGGTAAATCTCTACACCCACTCGTCCCCCGATAGTGTTGTTGTAAGAAATGTGGTAAGAACATTGTTTTAAGAATTAAGTCCCATCTACTCAGAGTTCAACATTCCGTCAAAACGGACTGAAATCAAACCCTACTCTTTTTTGAGCATTAGAGTTCACTGTCATGCAATTGTCTAGAAATACAATTAATTAATTAAATTAATTCGCATTATTAGCAAATAAAGCAATTAAATAATTGGTGCAAGTGCGCAAGCCAAAGTATATTACTCGTTGTAGTTTTTAGTTCCTATTAATGGGAGTGTACCACCACATTCAAAGCAAATTATTGGTGTAAGTGCCCAACCCAAATTATTGTCTCTTTCTCTTTTCTTGAAATATACTCCGTATTAACAAAAAGTTATTAAAAGTAATATATTAAAAAATATCTTTCAAACCTAATAACTTAATATAATGATTAATTTCTTCATCCTAAAACAAAAGTTCATTATCACTCTATTGTTTGTTATCACTTTAAAGAACGTCGTAGCTTTTTTTTTTCCTTATCACATTTTAAAATTTTTGTCATTTTGTTTATTGCCCCCTACTAGGTAAAAGTAACTTTTACTTTAGATTGGAATAAAGGGGAATTGGTTTCTATTTTTACACTTTTCACACACACACACACACATATATATATAATTAAACATTGAGAAATTTACCTAAATAGGACTAAAACATAATGACTTTCCCAATATAGGACCATATATTTTTATTTTCCAATTTAGGACTTTTGGTCATTATCAAGTAGTCATTATTCAAGTAAATATCTATCATTATTGGATATTATTCCTCCACTAGGTCATTAATAAGTCTTATTTAGAGAATAAAAAAGTTTAAGTCTTAGATAGGAAAAGTCATTATGTTTTAGTCCTATTTAGTGCAAATTTTACTTAAACATTTGACATGCAAAGTAAATCTGAGACTTAAAGCGTGTGGTATATACAATCACATAAAAAAAGATGAGAAAATATACTTACGTGATTTACGTCCAATGATGTTGAGGGTGTTGATTTCGTTTTTGACAATACCTAAGCGGTAAATTTGTTCACCTAACTACAATCAAAATAAGCAAAATCTTTAATTAGTGCAGAGTGTAAAAATAGAAACCAATTGCCCTTTATTCCAATCTAAAGTAAAAGTTACTTTTACCTAGTAGGGGGTAATAAACAAAATGACAAAAAGTTTAAAATGTGATAAGGAAAAAAAAGCTAATGGCCACCACGACGTTCTTTAAAGTGATAACAAACAATAAAGTGATAATGAACTTTTGTTTTAGGATGAAGAAATTAAAATAGATTATGGTATTCATATGCATTTTATATCATTATTATTATTGTTGTTATTATTATTGATGTTGTTATTATTATTATTATTAGGACCATGCTACACTTACACCAAAAATTGTATACCATTTATACATCGCAGTTATACACAAACATTTTGATGGTTTACACAGATACAAGTGTTGGTGCGTTAAAAAAAAATTATACGGACACAAGTGTTGGTGCGTTAACAAATTTTAATATTACACCAACACAAAATGTAGGTGCAAACTTACAGTGTAGAAATGGGTACACAAGTTTGGGGTACAAATAGCTTTATCCTTATTATTACTCTCTCCGTCCCTAAATATTCACAACATTTGCTTTTTCAGCCGTGTCGGGAACTTTTGTTTATTTCGACGTTTTCATTGATTATTTGATAAAATAAAATATTCTTGACACCTCTTATTTCGAAGAACTTTTCATGTAGTTTTTTTATATGTAAATTTTATTTTTTATTTCTTTACCAATATGTAAATAAAATAAATTAAAAAAATTTGATATTTTACCTCGAGAATACAAATGTGGCAAATAATTTGGGACGGAAGGAGTATTATAAAAGTGAGATGGACCTCTGACATCAACTTTAAAAGCATGGGGAGTAAAAAGCTCTGTCATATTGGCACAGTAAAATTGATGGATGGTTAATATCCTCTAGTCGGTAAAACGGTAAAAAAGCACAACTCGTAAATTCATCATTTTCTGGCGCCAATAATTTTGCCCGAAAAGGCACCCAGCATTCCAACTTGTTTTTTAGTCCTCCCCCACCAATCCCCATACATTTAGCTAGAATTATTTTTTGAAAGAACGCACTTGATAAATAAAATAGGATTAAAAAATAAATGATGTGAAATGTTAGTTTTTATATTTATAATTTTTATACTGCTAAATTTGGAAGAGTAAAGAAATCTAGCGAGTCCTCATAAAACCGCAAATTACAAGATACTAGTGTTTACCCCGTGCTTCGCACGGGCTCGTATATATTCTAATTTTTTGAAATTTTATAAATATAATTTTAGTTGTTTTAGTTTCTAATAGTGACAAAAAATATTTTAGACTGATGGAACATACAGAGTATATTGGTATGTTAATTTAAAAAACAATTTTACAAAATTAATAATCATTGAATTAAGTACTAAATAGAAATGGTTTTAATTAATAAAATATTATAATAAAAAGTGGATCAGTTACATGCATAATGATACATCATTAGAGAATATATGTGTCATAATGTCATTTGTCAGTTGTCACCCTTTAAATTTATACAATCATTTTTCGAGAAGTAATAAACTAAAATAAGCTGTGGATAGTATAAAAATAATTTTATGTGTGTGTACTCAAAATACGAAGTTTATTTTACAATGGTGAAATATATATTCAGAATTATTAAAGAATGAAAAATTTTATACAAATGTATTAAAAGATATTTAAAATAGGTGCAATGCATATATCCACTTCATAAATAGGTGCACATGTGGATGCACATGTGGCATGCCACANGATCAGTTACATGCATAATGATACATCATTAGAGAATATATGTGTCATAATGTCATTTGTCAGTTGTCACCCTTTAAATTTATACAATCATTTTTCGAGAAGTAATAAACTAAAATAAGCTGTGGATAGTATAAAAATAATTTTATGTGTGTGTACTCAAAATACGAAGTTTATTTTACAATGGTGAAATATATATTCAGAATTATTAAAGAATGAAAAATTTTATACAAATGTATTAAAAGATATTTAAAATAGGTGCAATGCATATATCCACTTCATAAATAGGTGCACATGTGGATGCACATGTGGCATGCCACATGTCAACATTGCAACAACTAAACTCTCTTTTACATATATATATAGGATATAGGATATAGGATTATTATGGCACTTAGGGGGAGTCTAATACTCCGTATGATTCAGTTATTTCCTTCCTTTGTTAATTGAGTATAATTTTATTTTTAGTAGCAATTAGAGTTATGGTAGGTGTAAATCTTATCTAAATTTATTTAGATAAATTAAGAAAGTGAAATAGAATAATGTCACCCAAAACTCACAATTTTGGTGATCAAGGTGTATGCCTCTCCGGTCAGGTAGGTTAAAGTGGTGCCCGAGTCAAAAAGGACTACCAGCGAAATATTGATTACAACATTTTCAACAGATATGTGCTCTATCTGTATGTTGTAATAAGGGCTGCATCATTCAAAAAAAAAAACACCACATGACATAGGTAAAATCTGAATTTTCATAATTGATGTTACGTAACGTAGGTTTAATTTTTCTAATAACTTAATTACCTTTGGTCAAAGGTAGGTAATAGTGGGGTGAATATCTGGTCATCGTCACCTTTATCCCCGAAAGCGATCCTACCGTACCCGTTTGGTGCGAAACACATCGAGAATGAGTTTCGAACCAACCCTTGGGATGATAGGAGGCTTGTCACGTTAAGAAAATTGCCGGTTTCAACTTGTCTGCAGCTATAAAAAAAAAAGAAACAAAATAAATAGGAGGGAATATTAATTAGAAGCAATAATAAACGACTAAATTGATTGAACTGACAAAGACTACATATAGTAAAAATTAATTAATTGCGGAGTAATTCATATAATTAGACTTGGAATAACATGTACGTAATAATTAACCTTTTTTTAAATTACTAATTACCTTGCCAAGTTGATTATGTTTTCCGTGATATCGCCACCGGCGGCAAAGGTGACCGCCGGTAAGTCCCGGTGGGAGGAAGAGGGGTGGCGGCATTGATCGTAAGCCGCCCATGCCGAATAATATTCGGCCGTGCCCTTTTCCGGCAAACGCGTGGCGCCCAAGACTCCAATGACTTCTTCGGAATGCCGCCGATGATACATATTACAAGTATGGGGGGTGCTAGTATATGCCATTCCAGAGAGAAAAAAGGTAAATATTAGAAGAAGATGATGAAGAAGAAAACCCATTGGAAGAGAGACTAATTTGCCCTTTCCATAAGCTTTAGTAAGCAAATTATTAAAGAAATATATAATTTGAGGAAGAAGCTGCTAAGATAGAATCGAAGATATGATTTAGCTCTGGTATATATAGCTGCGGAAGTTAGAATCAATTGGAATAGAGAATGGGATATATATATATATATATATATATATATATATATATATATATATACACACACATATATATAAACACATACATACATACATACATAATGTAATTGGTAGTACTTAGCCAGCAAGTAATTAACGGAGAAGGATTTCTAATTAATTTAATGCTCTAATTAATTTAATGCTCTTTTTCTTCTCACAGATAGCTATGCTTTTCACAAACGCATATCAAATTATATACTCCCTCCGTCCCATGAAATCTTTCTCCTTTCTTTTTTTATCTGTCCCACAAAATACTTCTAATTTCTATTAAAAAGTCACTTTTACCCCTTATTTTTTCATACCCTAACTATCACATCATACCTTTTTACTAATAATACATTCATCAAATCACACTTTTACCCATCACATCAAAGGACATTTTTGGAAATTCAATGCCAAAATACACTCCCCTTAAATCCCTCCTAAAAAGCAAAAGTTTCATGTTTCATGGGAGGGAGTATATATTTAGAATAGCTTTCCATGTGCAAAGACACCTTAGGGAGATAAATTTGTTTGGTTATGGTGTCGGCACTAAATGTTTTTACCTTTTGACTTTATCACTCGTAATTTTACTTGCATGCATGCTATTATTGGGAGTATAAATATATTATCAATATAATAATGAAATATACTCCGTAACAATAACCAAAGAATCCTATATATATATATATATATATAGAAATATTTGCACTAAATAGCACTAAAACTAAATTCATTTCCCTAAATTGGACTTAAACCATTTTATTCTCTAAATAGCACTTAATAGTGTCCATAATATCCAGTGATGGTGAATATTTGCTTGAATAATGACTAATTTATGTAATGACTAAACATGCTATATTGGAAAGAAACACATATGTGGTGCTATTTAAGGAAAGTCATTATGTTTTAGTGTTATTTAAGTAAATTCCTACTTTTACTTAATCTATCCATCACATCCTACTTTTACTTATCAAATCGAAATGTATTTTTGGAAACTCAACATCAAAATACACTCCCCTAAATCTTTCAAAATCAAAATAAAAAAGGTTTTGTGTGACGGAGAGAGTATATAAAAAATTTTACAAAACAATAGGTGACAAGAGTTTAACATTTTTTCAAATGGGTCAAGAACATAATTAAAATTTGATTTCGTGCATAAAAAACAAATAACTTAAATTAAGAGGGGGTTACAGAGGAAATAATAATGATAAATGAATAAATATAGTGATCAGTTTCGACTTTCGAGTTTCATGCTGGGGTGGGGACCGTGGCCTTTTACTAACTACTCCCACATGGCTAAAGCAAAAGTTAGGGATGCAGTACAGAGTAATATTTGTGGAACTTTTACATTTTTGGAAAACTCACCTTTTAAGATGTTTTGCTTGAAATATATATGTAATTCAAAAGAGTTCTCCATAATTGATGCTCCAGTATGTAATATCCTATATATATATATATATGTAAAAGAGGGTTTCAAAGTTGTGGTGACGACACGTGTCATGCCACACGTGCATACTATTGACACGTGTCCCGCTACGCGTATATCACATGACACATGTACGTCCATCCATGCATGTGAGTTAATTTTGTATTAAATAATTCGTATTTTTATTTTTTATAAATTCTTCACTTTCCAACAATAAAAAACGATTATTTTTATTAACTTTTTATAAACTCTTCACTTTCTGACTATGTTAAAACCAATTTATTGTTTTGACGTTTCTTAAAAATATATGCACGATTATTTTATAATTTTAGAAAACTTATGTATATAATTTAATGATTAAAAAGATGTTGCTTATAATTTTTAAAATTATCCATCATATCAAAAAAAAACTAATTACATATAAATTTTATCACATGTGCATCTTTATTAAATTCAATGTATGTTTGAACAAAAAGAAAATTATTGTTATCAAATTTTCAAAATAGTATTTTAATTTTTTTTATCAAATATAAATAATTATTAAATACAAATTTATTTCAAACTTTTTATCCTATTACATACTACAAATAAAAGAATCCACCATTTATTTATATTCTTATTTCTAACAAATAACTATATTTTATTAACTCTATATTTATTAACTATATATTTTACTTCAAAATGTATTTTTTGGCAACATTATTAAATTTTTTATATAATATTTCAAAACATTAAATTCAATAAACTAGATTTGTTTTTGTTCTAGGATAACATGTGGCATATAAGTCATATACCACATACGAATCTTTCAATGATTTATCATTACTTAATTAGTTTATTTTGCATTTTTATTTTATTTTTTTAATAATTATATCAAATTTCAATATTATTTCATTTGATAAAAATTTGATAATTTTGGTCAAGTCGCTCTATATATACTTTGACCATAAAGTGTACAAAAAATATATTATATTTAATTATAATGTAAATTTTGAAAAAATGTATCTATTTAAAATATTATTTTCATATATCAAGTTTTTATGACATTTAATTATTTAAAATTGTATTTAAAGTATTACATAGTTTTACCAAAAAATCCTAAAAGGGAGTATATAGATTAAAAATCTTAATATATTTTATTTGATTATTGTATTTATTTGGAGTTTATATGTTATACCATTTAAAAATATGTAACATACATAATTAGTTATATATCTAAAAAAGGTATAAAATTTATTAATCTTTTAAAAAAGAAATCCTGACGTTGTTTTCAATAAGGTATTTATCATTTTATCTTTTATTACTTCATTAAGGTAAAAATCACGGCTAGCCAAATTTATGCTGTTTCACACACACACACACA